TGAATACCTGTGTCTTTCATTGTCTCTCCATAGCATCTAGTCCTCCTGAATGGGGCTGTTTCCACTGTTGCTGTGGGAATAGTTGAAGTTCTCCAACTACAGAAGGCTTCACATACTGTTTCTAAAACAGACAGTATGCCGCTGACCTGTTGTTAAACCCCTGTATTTCTAAGAGTGAAATGGCAGAGAGATTAAAAAAGCTAGAACTAGAAAGAGTAAATGATGTTTCCCTCTGGGCTCCATGGAATTAATGAAAAAAAAAAGTCCCAAAAGAGAAGACAGGACATAGTGAGTTATGGGAACGTGACCCCAGCTCCCGCTTCCCTTGCAGAAGTGCTGACAGGGCAGGTGTTGTGCAAGGGCTGTGGTGCATAGGCTACCCTTATTATCAACACACCCACTTATTTTGAAGATGTGTTGCACCAATAAAGTGTATATGGACCACAGTAGTTCTGTTCAGGCAGTTGTAGGCCAACAGAAATGTTACTGGTAAAACTTCCTAGTGGAGAGGCAACTTGGGGCAACCTGAGTCTCGTTCCCTGCTCTGTCAGATACTTCTGTGAGACCTTGGGCAGGTCATCTCTATTCTCTGTACTTCACTTCCCCGTCTGCAAAAGTGGGGATAATCATATGTCCGTACCTCACAGGCATATTTGGAAAATAAGTTTTGTAATAAAAGTCAGATACTCGCATGTTGTTCCATCTAAGCACCTACAGTAGGTAGACCCTTGCATGCTTTCTTGTCCTGCTCTTGTGCATCTTCCCTAACCATTTCAAATGTACATCTGAATTACTCTACCTGCTGCTTGGTTTATTTTGCCAAATTTTCTGCATTGTCTTCCTCCCCCCACCCCCACCCCTTAACCTGCTTGGATAGTTCTGTGTCCTCTGTTTGAACTATTTTGAATTCTCAGAGTTTGCTTGGGCTGATTTTATAAACATCCTGGCGATTACTGCAGTTGATTTAAGGAGTTTGGAGCTTGCACAGGTCTGACTTTGTTTTTTTTTCTTTTGTCTGTTTTCTTTCAGTACTTATATTAACTAAAGGCACTGGAGAGTGTACTGAGGAGAACGAATTTGCAGCATCTTAGATTAAGAGTCTGATCTAATGTCAGCAGAAAATGCCATTGACTTCATTAAGTTTTGAACCTAGGTGAATTAAATAGATCTCTCTAATTTCTGTGGTAAATCTAATGCCTTTAGTGTTGGTGAATATTCCCCTGCTCTACATCTTACTCATGTTGAGACTAAATTTCAGATTCTCCAGCAATCTCATTAGGACCTTTCCTGTAATCTCTCACTAGTCCTTTGAATTACTCTGGTGCTGAATTGCTATGTCTATTAGCAAAGCCTCCAATAATTAGACTTCATGTGATGCCTTCTGAGAGTAAGACTTTTTTTTTGTTTTGTTCAGAATCATTTTTTTCCTATTTAGTCCCAACCAAAGAGTCAAAGTAGAGGGAACAAGAATTCAATTTGAAATGAGAATGGAATGCCTCTAACCAATACTGGGTTCATTTCAACAAAATTTGGAAAGACATAACTTAAAAATAACTTTAATCTGATGCTACACAGGGAATAAAAATGAATTTTTAAATAACTGAATGTATGTTTTCTGGAAGTATGGGCTAGGCTTCCATGCCTCTGAGAGGTTACTTCTAACCATTGTTTTCAAAGGGGTCACATGAAATCAGCCCTTTAAAATCAGTATCAGGACATTTTTATGACCTTTTTCTATTTCTCTTTCCACATACAAGGAAGTGGTCTTGAGTTCATTGCATATTTCTTTTGAGAAGGGCAGCCTAGGAAGGAAAACCTCAATTTGTCAGAAAAAGAAACAAAAGTGATGCGTGTTCCGGATATCTAAATACACTATGGGGCCTTTTTGATAAAGTCTTACCCTCAAGTCATCTAAAGAAATATTTTTGTATTATTTTCCTCCTATATAGCTCTCTAATTGTGCCCATTCTTCTCACCGTTCAGCTAGTCTGGGAAGGCCAGCAAAACAATTAACCATCCCTTCCTCCATGTATGTCATTAACTCATATTAACCTATGGAGCCAAAGAGGTCAGATGCTCATGGAGTGAGAAATGTGTGGTATTTGTACAGAGTTGTATGCCTCCGCTTATTTGATGGCTTACTTGGAAATGGAAGAACATCGTCTCTCATCTAGTAAGAATTCACTTTCTGAATGTGGGAGGGTGTTTCAGACTTTGAGAGAACATTTAACATGATTTGTTTCTGGTTAGATTCACCCAGTGCTGTTGCACTCCTTGTCAGAAAAATTTCAAGGCAGGAAGTCAGCCCAGGGACTGGAAATTATAGCAGTGAAAAGTGATCACTACCTCTGTGGTGCAGGGAGGAAGAGCTACACAAATCATGGGTTGCACTAGCCAGAAAGGACTGATGCCTGGTTAGTTTTGAGTGTTTTCATTTTGGCATCTCCCTGACAGGAGCCTCCAGCTGCAGAGATCTCATTAGTCCCCCTTCACCCCAACTTACATCTTTTGAAAGAGTGGTGATGGAAATGCTCCCAGTCAGTCTTCAAAGAGCGTCTGATGGCTAAGGCCCTTTTGGGGAAGGAGAAGGGATTCTGTATGACTTGCTACCTGTACAGCTTGTGGTGTCCTGCAGTAAGAGATGTGTGATAGTGTCAGAAAATGGGTAAGCTTGGGATGATATTCTAAACACACAGCTTAAAAATGGCTGCGTAGCTGCATCAGTTGACCCAGTTGTCTGCATGGTCACGTTGCCTTGGCAAGATAGTATTAACATGAGACTGCGTATTTCATTGTATACCATGTTGTATATCAGGGTATGTACATGCCTTGTGTCCCATGTGTGAAGTTTTGTGGCTTTCCCATATTGTCAGCCCATATTGGAACTGCAGATAGTGCAGCTTCAGAATTTTAACTGATTCACTTTTAAAAAGGTAAATAGAAACTTGCTAGCAAAGCTGCCTGTGCATTAGAGTCAGGTTGGGGGTTTAACCCCCCAGCCAGAGTGGGTGGACATCAGGAGCCCTAGGAATTCTTAGTGGTACCATCAGGGCCCTGCAGGGAGAACAACGTCCCCCAAAGTAGGAGCTCTGTCATTCTGTTATTGGATGTGGCGTGAACTCCTTGTTCCCAGCAGCACTGGCTCAGTTTGTTCTGCACGAAAATAAAGGCATGACATCTTATACTGTATGTGAGAGATTAAGAGGCTGTTTTTGGAAAACCCATCTTGTGTAAAAGTGAATGCAGGGAGATGATAATTTTAGAGCATTCTCTCAAATTCATCCCATATATGTTGCAATAGAAATGAAGTACAGAACTCCATTCCAGCTCGGTGTGGTGTTTGCCATTTTTATCAGGCAAATCTATTTTTTTCTGAAGAGAAATTGCCCACCCAATTTATCACCTTTCTATTTTTGTTCTTCTCTATATAGGGTGGCCTTAACTGCTGTTCTCACCAGGTTTGATGTTTTTGATTTATACACCAAGTCCTGACATTGATGTGGATGGAGCTGTTTTTTGTCCTTCATGGCAGGGCTGTTTATTTCATCTGAAGGCAACGCGATTTCCTGTTTGTACGGACCAGAGTCCTTTTTCCCCCAAGCCAAAGATTTTTTTTCAAAATAATCATAGTGCTAATTGTACCTTCAAAGGACTGGACTTTCTAGGTGCCTTCCATGGCCCCACTCTTACAATGGTCTTTATAAGGGTGGACTCCTGTGCATGTTAAGAACCCCGTTGGGGTATGCTGGATGAGGAGTCCAGTCTGCTGCTGGTTGCAGGCAGGCAGGGGATTGATCTGAGGACTTCCAGAGATAACAGCATGTGCTGCTACAGTTTGGGCTAAAGAATCAAATCACCATAGTTGGGACTATAATGGTCCTTATCAGCTGTGGATGGTATACTGGACCTGCAACGCACAGACACACACTTATTTGCCAGTGGGTGATGCTTGCTGCTTTGAGCATACTATCAACATTAATTCATTGAGGATGAGAATAATTAGATATTTATAGATTTTAAGGCAGAAGAGACTCTTAGATTATTCAGCCCGACCTTTCCTATCACCTGTTAATCTAAGTAAACTGTGTATGGTTATTGAAAGTAATTTGGTTATTTAGCTCTAAAGCCATTGTAGGTGTATCTCTGATCACTCACCTTATATTGGCCTCTTAGAGTTTCTTGACACTACTTTAAAAGCTCCTTTGAGGAAGTTGCCTACTATGAGCAAATGTTGTACTTGGGATTTGAGGCTCCACAGGATCAAAAACACCATTTCTGCCCATTTGAATCTTCCACTAGCTTGAGGAATGGGTGAGTTTTATAGTCAGGTAAACTGAGGCACGGAAGGTTTCATAGTTTTATTTTTTTTAGTTTTAGGGTCGGAAGGGACCTAATAGATCTTCTAGCCCGACCCCCATCTTCTAGCCCGACCCCCAAGGTTAATGGGTTAACCCAAAGGTTAATGAGGCCACTGACAAAGACAGAGGCAAGGTTGAGAACAGAATTCAAGGCCTGTTCTCCATGTTTACCCTTGAGCACCTCCAGCCAAGGGCCAGCAAAGTTATTTGTTTGCAAGGGTCTGTTCTTCAGGAGTCCTCTGTTTTAACGCCTGCGTCTGATCTGCTGTATTAGTCAGTATTCAAAGATGAAGTGTCTTGTAGTTCATAAGATCTCTGTCTCCATTGGCTGGTCTGGTTGTATACAGATGCCCTTTTATTCTCTTGCTGAAAAGGGTAGTTGGTGCCCCCAAGTGGTAGAGAAGTAAATAATAGGGTTTTTTGTTTGTTTTCAAGTTCTGGTGGAGGGAATCTCAGATCTTCTTTTTCTGGGACCCGTCAAGGGAAAAGAAAGGGAAAGCAAAATGGATGTGAAATTGGCTTAAAGAAACAAACAACAAGCGTAGAAAATCTGCCTTTTGTGGCTAATAAATGCAACAGCTGTGAGCAGTACTTTGGCAGGGCCGTGGCCAGCATTTTAACTGTGCTGTTTTTTCCTTGTAGGGCAAGCAGGTGTTGGAGAGTGCGGTGATGAAATGGCACAATTCCCTGCAGAGCCCTGGATTCCAGTGTAAACGGTGCTTGGACAGCTGTAGGAACGGCCAAACAAGAGGTCACTGACACTTCCTTCCTCCTGTTGCTGAGGTCTGCACAGCAGCTGTTTCAGTGTTGTCGTGAAAGTGCTCGGTTCTCGTTTTCCAGACTGAACAGTTAAACGGAGCTTGACCTGAGCTTTGGGTCCCCGTGCGCGGTTCTCTTTGAGCATGGCTCTGCATGGAGCAAGGTACTCCCTGGATTGTGAAAGGAGGGTGAGCGAAGACCTGGACAGTGAACCCAGGAAGCAGTTCTTCACATGATGGGATCTTTGGGTAACCACAATGCCCATCACTCAAGAAAATGCTCTGCTCTTTCTCCCCCTCCTGTATCAGTGGCTGCAAAACAACCTGCGGGAAGAGGTGGAAGGGTCAGAGCAGAGGCTGTGTCATTCTGCCATTCAGAAGCTGAGAGAGTATATTCAGTTGAATTTTTCTGTGGATGAGAGCAAACTGCAGCATGGCAGTCCCAGCACTTTAGACATGGAAATCTGCACTGTACACCTGACCAAGGAGCTGGAGAAGGCTGAGGCACTCGGGTTAAGTTTTTTCCTGCTTTTGGAGACTATGGAGAGAAACGGAGAGGAGGAAAAAAGAGGAAGGGGCATAAAGGCCCTGTGTTGGATGTGGGATGTATCTGGGTAACTGATTTAAAGAAAAACAGCCCAGCGGGGAGATGTGGGAAAGTGCGACTGAGAGATGAGATTCTTTCCCTGAATGGACAGCTAATGGTTGGCGTGGATGTCAGTGGGGCAAGGTAAGGTGGAAGTGGTTAGTACAGACCTGATGTGCTAGAGGATCATTACTGTACAGACTGATCTGACAGAGGCATGGAAAAGCCATCGCTGGAGCTTGGGCTGAAATACTGTGGCCAAAAGATTTTAGAGAACAAAAAAAGGTGGGGGAAGGAATTTAGTAACACATATGGCAAATTTGTATCATTTTATCGAATTGTTTACATTGAGGGGGAAATACAAGTGCATCTGAATGTTTCATCTGACGCTTGAAACAAATTATTTAAATCTTCCTTTTAAAACAACTGCTCATTTAGAATTTTCCTTTGACATTTTTTAAATATAAAAAGATGATATAAATGCACTGAAGACAGACCTGAAAGAATTAAAAATGAAATAAGGTGCATGTGGGAATTGCCGGTGAACTGAAAACATCAGTTACTTACACAACTCTGCTCTTCACGGACCAGATGAACAGCTCGTGCTTTCTGTTGCACAAGGGAGGTTCACTCTGGATAAGATTGGGAGGTACCAGTGCAGTAGTGGTTCGGCTTTTTGTTCTGGAGGGCACAAAACCTCTGCCTTAGTTAAAGGATTTCTCTCCTCCAGTGGGTGGTTTTGATCTGAAATCTGTGTCAAACAAGTTTTTTGTAAAAACCATAGGGCTGGCTTACCTGATTCTCTGTCTGAGCACTTGAGTGCAGCTTTATTGACCTCAAGAGTGAAGCATTGCTTTATACCAGCTGGGGACCTGGCCCCACAAGTAAAAGCCTGAGGAAGGGAACAGTAAGGGCTGTAATTAACAGTGTCTTCATTCTTTGAGGAGTTAGTTTAAGAGTAAAAAGGTTTCATAGGAATTACTCTGTATTTCACTGGGGGGTGGTGGGCGTGTGACAGTTTTCCGGCCAGCCCTCATTGTTCTCATGTTCGACAACCTGTACTTTGTAAACAAGGAAGGAAACAGACTCAGGCTCAAGGAAGTAATGCTCTAAGGGCACATTCTTGCAAAGTGCTGAGCACCCTCAGCGACCATTAGAGAGATGGCTGCCTCTTACTGACCACATTCACAGTAGCAGTGATGACAAGGAAGTTAAAATTCCTAGATCTGCTGTAAAGTTCTGATCTTGGACACCTCACCTCATTTATGGTCTGGTAGTTTTCCATTTTGAAAATGGGACTAAACTGTTTTCTGTTTCTTCTACCTTTGGTTTGTCTGCCTACTATGATTTTAGGCTATTCAAAACTGGGTCTTTGTTGTACAGCACTTAGCACCGGGGGGCCCTGGCCTCAGTCAGAGCTACTAAAAAAGGGTTCCTCTAATACCAACGATTAGTACAAATAGGTCTGAATCAGTGCTGTAATCAGTAAAGGTGAGAGAGGATTTACCACTGGGTCATGTATGCTGATTTGAGCAAGATGCTTAGAGGGCTGCATCTCTACAATTCAAAGATGCCAATACCCAGCTTCGGTTTTGTATGTGCCAAAAATAAGTCCCTGACATTTTATTCCTGAAGATGTGCGTTGAAGATAAAACAAATGATATTATCAAGATCTCTAACTACTTGATTGTGCTTGCAAAATAGAAGAGCATTTCCAAAAATCAGTCTTAAGAGGTGGGTAAAGATGTTTGATGTGCTGTCCTTTTTCTCTCTCCACCATTGGAATTACTTGTTCCTAAGATCCAAGAAAATCTGTAGAAGCCAGTGATAATGTCACACTATTTTTCGTGCCAAAGGAAGTGAATGTCTTGTGGAGTCTGAGGCTTCCTGGTGTCAATTCTTATTTTTCCAGCCCTGAGTTGTGTTGTGTTTTGCAGGGTCCCTGGCTAGATCAGCAAGCTGGGTACAATATTCACAATCAAAATAACAAGATTTTTGCACCAATATTTTATGTCACTGCAGGGCTGGAACGCCCAGATGTTGACTGCGTGCACAGCATGAGTTTTTATTTATGACAGTTCATAAGACCCTACCTTAAAATGGCTTAATGTCACATGGACCTGGTTAAAATACAGGGCATTTAGTAGGCAGACCTGTTTTTTTCAACATCCCAAGCATTGTAGTCCAGTGTGCTGTGAGTTTTTGACAAGCAATACTAGTTGCATAAAAATCAGAGTTTTGCAGGACTGTCTCGATTGTGGTGCTGTTGTTGGCTTGGCTTGGCCGTTATGCTTGGATTGCCCTATAGTAGCAAACAGCAGTCCTTACGTGGCATCAAGTAGAGCACCCAGCATTTTACCATTTAAATCGAGCAGTGGCTCAGCATGATTTTTAAGAGATCTTATTGGTTTCTTTATCAGGGATCTTTTAGCAGATCATCATAAGATAGAGCACTTAAAGCAGAAGGAAGGAAGGATTTGATTTGCAGAACCTTTTCTGCCTTTGGTTGAGCACATGTGCATTTGTGTCTGGTACACATTGGTGGGGCCTGTTCCTGTTGATTCTTCAGACCTCCCTATACCCCCAGGTTTCTGCTGAGCAGACCAGTCCATTGCAACGAAGATTTTCAGCAGCAATGGGCAGGTCTGGCTTTTCACATCTCAGTGGTGGCCACAGCGTTGTAATTATTTTGCTTATTAAGCAAAAGACCCTGGTTTGATATTAAAGGGCATTAATTCTGTGTTTTTATGCATGAGTATATGTGTATATATGTGCATATATATATGCATATGTGTATATACTGTGGTAAAGAAATGAGAAAGATATGACCAAACAGCCAATGTGACAGCAAGCCGTGCTCATAGCATGGGGAGGAGGAGTGATGGGCGCGGTTAGCAGCATTCCCGCTCATGCTGATTGGCAGGGGGCGGGCAGACGTTGCCCGGTTAAAAGGGGAGCGCGCCAAAACAACGGGGGGGACCCGTGTAATATCGGAGAGGACTGATATACCTCGCCGGAGGTCCTGCATCCGCGAAAACCTGGACGGCCCCATCACGATTTGGTATACCACATGAATATGCTCAAGAGCTCCCGAGGAATCGGCGAACTAGATTCCTGATACAGCTGTACGAGATTGTTGCCTGAAATAGTGAGTAAAGCGATTTTCTTATCTCACTGCCTCCCCGGTGTGTTTCTGTCAACGGAGGGAGAGACAGAAGAAGGAGGAAAGGCCCGAACCTTTTTGTCCCCGACCTACTCAAGTGGATTGGGCTCAACCACCCATAGTTAGGTTGCACATGGCGACGAGGATGGGATCCTCGGGGAAAAGGGGAAACGAAGGAGATGCCGACGAGTTAATTAGGCATTGCCCGTGGGGAAACCATCACCGGCCCCCAACCACGAACGCCGACGATTTATGGGCTCATGTGGTGTATCATCAAGCTGGGCAGGACGGGAAGATGGGAGGCTATGTTTCCATCCGCCCGACCGAAGATAGTGAGGAGCTGCCTAAAGAATGGGTCGTGTCGGGTCTCAGTCCCGTGGCCCTAGGATGCCTCCTTTCCAGCCCTGCAGTTCTTTATCATCCACCCGATAAAAAGCCCGAGGCGTTACTTAGCCGTGTCAGGCTTGCAGGCACGAATGACTGTACTCCCGCAAAAGAGTATGCCAAGTGTATACAGTACCTAAAGGAAGGGAGCGGCTGCGAAACCCCTCCCGATAAATTCAACTGCCCCGATCTCGATCTTGGGGGCACCGAGAATGAAATCCTAACGGCACTCCGTGAGAGTCTTGAGGCCGGTGGACGGGATGCCGCGGGGTGGACGGGACAGAGGTGGAACAAGGGGAAAATGATTAATTTCCTGTTTTGCTCAGTGACTACCTTGCTGCGGCATGCAGCGAACCAAGCCAGCATAATAGATATGCTGACTAGAACGGCTGAGCAGCCGAG